AGCTGTGTGCATGTCAAAAGTGTATGTCAAAAGTGTTAAAAAGTGTCTTTCCCATTTAAAAAGGCATTTCTTTCACTATTTAACCTGGCCAGGAAAGGGAATGGCTTCAAACAGGTGGGTGAAAATGGAGCAAACTGTTCTTAATCTTCCCCAATCCCTGCCACATTTTTCCAGTCTCTCTAATTCCCACCACTCATCCTTATATATCAACTTCACTGAAGCTTAAAATCTTTTCATTCTGTATTCTCCACCATGCATTCTCCAACTCCCATACAACCTGCATTGCTCCAACAGTTCTCAGCATACCCCCTTGCTATTCTGATTCCCCATATTCCTCAGATTTTAATAAAAAACTAGGAATCTGGAAGTGTTATGAACAGTTTGTGTTAGGGAGCTGTGTATCAGCCATTCTTTGGCCAAATTACCCTGCTACTTCCTTTCCTTTGTTTGCACACAGTTCTATTAGGGTGATTACATGATTCCAACTGCTTACCGGGGTCTTTAATTTTCTCTTTAATTAATTAAATGTTTCTATGACTCCACTTCTAAAATAAATTCAGAGTTTGCTTGTGGGTTTTAGGTTACTTTAAAATATTGCCTAAATCAACCAATTTTGCTCTTGGGGCAAAACTGCCAAAAGGACCCCTGTAGAACACACATCTTTTGAAAACTACCAAAGTTAGGGTTCAAACTCATAGGGGAGCTCAGGTCACTGAGCAGAGCATGTCTTCTCAGGCCATCCAGTCACTGTGACAACAGATTACCTGGAAACCCTTTGGCTGTTAAGGGGATGTCTAGCAATGATGCACATACATGTAATTCTAACTCAATCCTTAGTAATATCTTTCAGTATAACTCCCAAAGGGCACAGAGAGCTTTTAGTAGCTGTGATAAATGTCAATCAAGTGAAACAATTTGGGGAAAGATTAGAGTCTAGTCTCAGTGTTCAAGAACACCAAGTGTTCACAAAAAAGCTAAAGCAGCCAGGTCCTTTTGTACATTCATGATTGTTAGGAGGGCTGCATTTGTACCTGGCTCCAGTGACCCCAAATTTGAACCATTAACCCTCACCTCATATTCTCATGAGACAGAGAAAATTTTAAGACACTTTGTATTAGGATGTGAATTTTAAACCTCTTATTAGAACAGTTATATTTTATACAATATGTAACCTTCAACCTTCATTATAGCAGAGGTACTGTAACGAGCCAATTCTTTTGGGGAGCGGGCTCTATACTGCTAATAAATATAACATTTGTGTTTGTAGAGCATAGATTTGAGGGTCGGAAGGGATCTCAGTGGGCCATCTAGTCTGACCCCCTGCCCCTGGCAGGCAAGAAAAGGGTCACCAAACCTGGGATCATGTGATCAGGTGCCTGTCCAGTCTCCTCTTGAAGACCCCAAAGGATGGGGCGAGCACTATTGCAGATCCTGGCAACCCTGTCTGTGAGGAACTTTTTTCTAATGTTCAGTCTAAACCTACTCTCCAGTAGCTTATGGCCATTGTTCCTTGTTGTTCTGGCGGGTGCCCTGGTAAACAGATCATCGTCTACTTTGTGTTGCTCTTCCCTTATGAATTTGTACGCCACCACAAGGTCAGGGGCTGGGCTGGGCTGTGCTCAGGGCAGGAGGCAGTGGCGCTGAGAGGGGGAGTTGGCAGGGGGGAGGGCTACAGCAAATTTTCAGGTGGCTGCAGCCCCCTCCCAGCACTGCCTCAGCCTACCCCGAGCGCAGCCCAGTCCAGCCCAGCCCAGCCCAGCCCAGCCCCACCCTCCGGGAAGAGCCTGGTGCAGCCCTGGCGCCAGCCCGCAGCAGTAGCCCACGACCCCCTGCACAGATCCAGGGGCACACCCCACCCATGCCTCCCAGGGTGTGTAGCAGCAAAAGCTGCACCCCCGGACGAGCCACTTGTGGCTCCATCCCGTGCCCCACCCTGGCTGTGCAGCACCTGCCCCAGCCCCTCTCCCTCCTTCAACACTGTTTGTTTGCTGCTCCCCATCCTTGCTGCAGCTGCTGGAAGCCCGTGACTGGGCTGCCTTGCAGCTCTACTGCTGCCCTGCATTTGGGGGGGCTAAGCCTCATTCATCCCGCTTCCATCTCTTATGCCTCTACCACTCTGGATTCTGCTTTTGGCAGAGCCTTTGGATGGAAAAAACCATGAATTTTCCTTTTTAACTGAGAAAAATGTGGATTTCTCACTTTAATGGAGAAACACGTGGATTTTCCACTTTTGCACAGAGCTCTCTGCAGGCTGGCAGAGTTCCAGCTTGCTAGAGGCTGGGGGGGAAGTAGGAGGAGGGTGGTTGGGCAGGGGGCACCATGTGAATGTTCATGTACATGGCTGCCAGGCAGCCTGGAGAGCAGCTCGCACAGCTAAGTCTAGCAGGAGGGAGGGGATGGAATTGAGGGCCCCATAAGAAGAGAGGGAGATAGATGGGGCTGGAGCTGCTGCCCAGCTGGGAAGTGCATGGGCCTCAGGGCCATTCTCAGATGCAGGGCCTGGGTGGGGAGTGGGATGGGGTTGTGGGTGGCATGTCTGGAGAGTGGGAGGGTTAGGACTGGCTCCGCACTGCTGTGTGTACTCCCGGAGGGGGCGGGGCACAAAGGAGACATGTGCCCTATAGATTAGTGTGCAGGGTGGGGGCAGGCTGTCTGCTGCAGGCTCAGGCTCCTCACCCTGCTGCTCTCCCCTGGGGCCTCCACAGCCCAGCAGGTGGGACCTGGTGTGGCAGGGCAGGGCAGAGAGGGGTTGGGTGGGGAGGTTTGTGCTGCTGCTGGGAGCTCTGCGTAACTCTGAGAAGGTGCCCCCTGGCTTCCCAGCAGTAGCAGGAGTAGCAGCACAGAGTTGTGCACCTCACTGCTGCCCAGTGGGCAGGGGTACTTCACCAGGGTGGTGCACAGCTTCCAGTAGCGTCATAAGCTTCCCTGCCAGGTCCTGCCTGCTGGGTTGCAGAGGCCCCAGGAAGGGCAGCAGGGTAGGGATCCTGAGCCTGCAGTGGGCAGCCCACCTCCACACCCTGCTACGGGCTCCACTCCGGCCATGCCACCCACAGGGGAGGGGGAGCTGGTCTCTGCACTCCACTCCCCACGCCGGGGAGGTTTTGGGTGGGGAATAAGGGGTACTAGCAGGGCTGTGGGGGCTGTGGGTGGGGTGTGAGGGGCACCAACAGGGCCGGGGGGCTGCAGTTGGGGAGTGAGGGGCGCCAGCTGGGTCAGGGGGCTGTGGGAGGGGAGTGAGACACTAGCAGGGCTGGGGGCTGCAGCTTGGGAGTGAGGGGCCTTGACCTGCATCCTGGTGAGCAACAGGGGCTGGGGGAGCTCTGATTTTCCATTATAGAAAACCCAAAATTAAGTGCCAACATTTATAGGTATTTCGAATGTATTTCATTACAGAGATTGAAGCATTGGTAGGCTTCCAAATGCTTTGGAACGGTAAATACATCAGTAAAACATTGCATTCAACTGATACCTATATACATAGTAGTATTTCATTGTAATTGCAGATTTTGGTGTTTATCAGAGAATTTGCTGTTTTTATCAGAGAATTTGTGATTTTTTTCAGAGAAAAATCGGGATCCCCGGTTATCACTATATTGAGGCCCAAAATGTGTTTGATTAAGCCATATATTCCAGGCAGATTTGCAGTCTTGACTTGAAGATAATAATAAAGAATTCACTGATTTCCTTAGTAATTTGTTCCAGTGTATAATCACTGTTAAACATTTGTGCTTTATTTCCTGTCTGAATTAATCTGGTTTCAGCTTCTAGCCATCAGTTCTTGCTATGGTTTTCTCTGCTAGACTAAAGATTTCTACAGGAGCTGGTATTTTCTCCTGTGGAAGGTATTTAACATTGTAATTAAGTTACTTAATCCTCTTGATAAAGTAAACAAATTGAGCTTTCAGTGTAAGGCATTTTTTCTAATCCTCAAATCATTTTTGTGGCTGTTCTCTGGAAGTTCCATGGTCTTTAAGCACCTTTTAAAATGTGGACCACAGAAATGGAGAAAGTAGCTCAGTAAAAGTAGAGTAGAGGTAAAATCACCTTCTTAATTTTTCTCACTACTCCCCTGTATTTAATTTACACTTCACTATAATTCAAGAGTTGCATTAGCTCTTTTGCCATAGCATTGCACCTGGAGCTACTGTTATCTATACTGTTTTTCTCCACCTCTGCTTCCTTACTCCTTTAATTTTCTGCCTGCATCTTACTTTGTGACTCCTTTTCAGTTTCTCTCCTGCTGTCTACTCGTGTCCTTGCTATTACTTATCTGGACTATCCAACCTATACATACAGCTCTACTGTTTCCTTGGTGCCTTCTTGTGTAGCCTGAAAAGGACAGCAGGACAGTCTAATCTTAGTTCCATTGAAAGCATGGTAGACATTAGAAAATAGATTGTCCTTTACACTTACAAATTGTTTAAGAAAATAATGACTATCTTTTCTGAAGAAATTCTAGGTTCAGTCTTATTGAGATTAACAGAAGACAGCAGAAAGAATTGTAGTGCATCAAGAAATCATGAGAACCTTTAAAAAAATTCCTCCATGTGTGAAACTCAATACGCAATCATGAGCTAGCAACCTCTGGTGTAATGTATACGGTGTTTAGATTTGGGAGCCTCTTTGGATAAAATGAATTATATCAGGAGTCAGCAACCTATGGCACACAGGCTGGATCTGGTCCACTGAGCCACAAACGTGGGGCTTCGGCGGCATTCAGTGGGAGGGGACTTTGGCAGCAGTTACTTTCCTGTGCCACTACAGGGATAAGAAAAGGCAGTAGGCACTTCCCTATACCACTGAGGGGAAAAGAAGCAGCAGCGGCTGGTTCCTAGTGCCCGATTTCCTGCCTCTGACTTGAAATGGGTCACTCCAGCCCATGACCTAAAAAAGGTGGCTGACCACTGAATGATACTCATACCCAATAATTATCATTGCTTAAAAAGAGATGTATTATATAGACATCGTGTTGAAGTAGAAGTTAAAATTGCATTACTTACCTCAAGTGTCCTACAGGCCTCTTCCAGCTGACTAACTATTCCTTGTACTCTGTCATTGCTTCCTACTAACACTGCAATACCATCACTGAGTTCAGTCTAAAGAGAAGGAGGGGAATTATCATTACCAGAGTTAAACATGCAATGGCTCAATGGTAATTTTACTTTGAATGCTTTCTTCTCAGGCAGGTTTCACAAGAGAGCACACATAATATGAAATTCAAAGACAATGAATGAACCAGCTGCACAAAGGTACACAAGTGCTTAGAAGTAGAGGTGGCTGAAAATGCAGTTTCCATCTCATGGCAAGTTCTAATATTAGGACATTTGTTTTTGTTTAAATAAGGATGAAAATTGAAGATTGTGGAACTTTTCATAGAATAAAAAACTGATTTGGAAATGCTGAACTCGGTAATACTTATTCAGGGATTAGTAACATTTTTGTTATTTTTTTAAACTGAAAATGAAATCTTTTGTTTTAGGTTGAGACTGCATCCCCATCTCTGGATCCACCTGAGTAAAAGTGGTTCCTCATAAGAACTGTCATTTTGGTTCCTTCAAGCCTCTGTTTTCCTCCATGGCATGGGATCTCCATTCAGATTACATATCCTATGATGCATTGTAGTCTAGGTCTCAGGCTGACAGGCCATGGTGTATCATGGGAGACTGATAGGCCAATTAAGAGCCTGAGTTTCTCAGGTACTAAACATCCACTATTCCAAAGTGAAGCTAATCAAAAGCAATGGTACTCAGCTCCTGATTTGTCCACGGCAATGCTGTAAATCAGTGACAGTCATGAGTAGAATTCCTCAACTCATAACACCAAACCAAACTTTATGTCCTCACTTTCTAGGAAAATAAGGCATGTAATTATCAATTAGCATGGCTGTATTCCACAGCTTTATGGCAGAATAATAAAAGGGCTTTTAAAAATGTGTTGGAAAAATTCACAGGCACATGCAAAATTATAAGCATACAAAATGAGTAATTACATACAAAAATATGATCCTACAGCAGTTAGTTGGGTTATTCACACAAATAGAATTAATTATTTGCTTTAAAACCTTTTTATTTTCATGAAATATCTGAGGATTGGTTTCAGTTTGCATTCATTTAATTGACCAGTTGGTCAGGCTTGTGAGGCCTTCTTCTTGATAGCATCTCTCTTTGGAAATCAAATGATAATTTATGAATGCCACATCTGGCCAATTACAAAATTTCAGTGAATGCTTCAGAAACATCTATAAACAGAAGCCTATTGATTGACTTCAGAAATTCAGAAATACCAAAAAGGAGAAATGAGGGAACCCAGGGAGGCCTTTGTGCCCCATTAGTGGAACTACCAACTGCAGTTATTGGTTGATGGCAGTCATTAATATATTTCTGCATAATAGAGCCCCATAGCTCCAGTCAACCTCTCAGTAAAACTTAGAAATGATGATGCCTGGAAAGAGTGCAGGGGAAATAATGGTAGTGTTAAAGCGATGTTGTAGCCATGATGTTCCAGGAACTGCATGAGAAAGGCACTGGACCAAAAGAAACCTCATGAAGACAAGTGCACAGTCCTGCACTTAGGACAGAACAACCCCATGCACCAGTACCGGCTGGGGACTGAGTGGCTGGGCAGCAGCTCTGCAGAAAAGGACCTGGGGTTACAGTGGACAATAAGCTGAATATCAGCCAACTGTGTGCCCTTGTTGCCAAGAAGGCCAATGGCATACTGGGCTGCTTCAGTAGGAGTATTGCCAGCAAGTCAAGGGAAGTGATTATTCCCCTCTATTCAGCACTTGTGAGGCCACATGTGGAGTACTGTCTGTGTTCAGTTTTGGGCCCCCCCACAGAAAGGATGTGGACAAACTGGAGAGAATCCAGCGGAGGGCAACAAAAATGGTGAGGGGGCTGGGGGACGTAATTTGTAAGGAAAGACTGAGGGAACTGGGCTTACTTAGTCTAGAGAAGAGAAGACTGAGAGGGGATTTAATAGCAGCCTTCAACTACCTGAAGGGGGATTCAAAAGAGGATGGAGCTAGACTGTTTTTAGTGGTGGCAGATGACAGAACAAGGAGTAACAGCCTCAAGTTGTCGCAAGAGAAGGTTAGGCTAGATATTAGGAAACATTTTCTCACTAGGAGAGTAGTAAAACACTGGAACAGGTTACTCAGAGAGGTGGTGGAAGCTCCATCTTTGGCAGTTTTTAAGACCCGGCTAGAAAGGGCTTTGGCTGCGATGTTCTAGTTGGGGATGACCTCCTGAGGTCCCTTCCAACCCTCATTTTCTATGATTTTTGTGGGTGACATTTTTATTCAAACAACTGCCCTTTATTGGAGCAACAGCCCTCCACACTGTTTTTAATCATTGTTGTGCCTACTTCTTTTTTCAGACCTGACAAAGAATGCCTCACATTCAAAAGTTTGTCTAAGTCTACCCCAACCATGCAGTTGGCCCAGTAAAAGACATCACTCACAAAATCCTTGCCACAGGGGGATACTAACAAAAGACAGGAGAACAAGACTGTTGGAAGTGGAAGGGGGAGTTTGGAAGGCACGTGAGAATGGGTTTGTGCACAGAACTCCAGTCAGAGTTGGGAAATGGAGAGGCTGACATGAAGGCGGGAGAATGGGGAACGCTGGTATAGGGGAACACATATATATAGACCGCCTGGTTTGGGAGGAAGATTGAGGGACCCTGGCATGGGAGAGAGAGAGGAAAAGGGAGAAGGGCTATATATACAGAGCCCCTAGCATGAGCAGAAAGAGGGAAGCATGGCAGGGTTAGCAGCTTCAGCGACAGAGGTCATGCAGAATCCCTGGCAGATGGGAGAAGGGGGAACCCTAGGACAGACACAAGGAGAAAATCGGGGGAAGAGGGAAACTGGAACATAAATGTAAATGGAGAGCAGACATACACACCCCCTGCCTGGCTGGCAGGAGGAAATGGTCTGAAACCTGGTCTGAGAGAGGAGGTGGGAGAGGCTGCAAATAGGGCTGTGCGAAGCTTCAGTCCCTGATTTGATTCGGTGGAGATTTGGCCCAATTCGGTGGCTGAATCTCTGAATCTGAATCAAATCAATTCAGCTGATTTCCGAACCCTCTTAATCAATTCAGAGAGATTTGGAAAGATTCGGCGATTTGGACATAGACACAGCTTTAAATGCTTTTTCTACATACTTCTAGGTAGCAGGCGGCTTGTGAATGCTGTGATGCTGCGGTAGATGGAGTGTCCCACAGGAGTGCGGGGGGCTCCCCAGCATGCTCGGCACCACACCCGGAAGTGGACCAGAAGCAGTTCTGGTCCACTTCCAGGTCTGCCGGAGAGCGCATCGGGGCCCCCCCCCAACCCGCACCCCCATCTCAGCAACTGGTGCCTCCTCGATCTGGGGGGGGCACCAGGGGTCCCCCTTGCAGCCAATAGCCGAGCTGGGGTGGGGCGTGGGCATGCTCCCCAGCGAACCTGGAAGTCGACCAGAAGTGGACCGGATGTGGACCCCACCACCAAGCATGTGGAGGGCCCCCCCACACTCCTGTGGGATGCTCCATGCACCCCAACATCACAGCATTCACAAGCTGCACCTGCTACCTTGAGGTATGTAGAAAAAACATTTAAAGCTGTGTCTGTGTCCAAATCAATGATTCTCCAAATCAGCATTGAATCTTCAGATTTGGATTTGGCCAAATCGAATCAGGGATAGTGATCCAAATCTACTAATTGAATCACTGTCCCTGATTCAGGCTGAATCCAAAATGAATTGGGCCCGCTTTGCACACCCCTAGTTGCAAGTGTAGCATATGAGAATGAAAAGACTGCATACAGGGAACTTGTGGTGAGGGCTGGAGGAGTGCAAGGACACCCTTGTGCCTGGAATATGTTTAGCACATGGAAGCAACAGCCCTCTAACAACCCTGTAGTTAAACATGAAACAACTTTGCTAATGAGTTTGACTATTTTATACAGCTATATGTCAGCTAATGGATAACTCACATGACTCCCAGAGGACTGGAAAAAGGCCAATGTGGTCCCTATTTTCAAGAAGGGGAGGAAGGAAGATCCAGGTAATTATAGGCCAGGTAGTCTCACCTTTAGCCTTGGGAAAACCTTTGAAAACATTATCAAGGATCACATTTGCGAAAGGCAATCAGGCAAAATAATGCTGAAGGGCAACCAGCATGGGTTCATAGTAGGTAGATCCTGCCTGACTAACCTTGTTTCTTTTTATGACCAGGTCACAAAATGCTTAGATGCAGGAGTTGAGGTAGATGTCATCTACCTGGATTTTAAGAAGTCCTTCAATACGGTATCTTATTTTATTCTCCTAAGCAAACTGAGGAGCTGTGACATAGATGATTACATGATCAGGTGGTTGGCAAACTGGTTAAGGGTTGCACCCAGACAGTGGTGGTGGATGGGTTGGTATTGACCCAGAAAGATGTGGGCAATGGGGTCCCCCAAGGCTCAGTCCTTGGACCTGTGCTATTCAGTGTCTTCATCAGTGACTTGCATGAGGGCGTGGACATCACTCTGTCCAGATTCGCAGATGACATGAAATTATGGGGTAAAGTAAACATACTAGTGGGAAGGGATTGAATACAGGTAGACCTGGACAGTTTGGAAAAGTGGGCAGAAAAGAATAGGATGCAGTTCAACAAAGACGAGTGCAAAGTGCTGCATCTAGGGAGAAGGAATCACCAACATACCTATAGGCTAGGGAATGACCTGCTCAGCAGCACAGCAGCAGAAAAGGGATCTCAGAGTTATAGTTGACTTCAGGATGAATATGAGCCATCAATGTGACAAAGTAATCAGTAAAGCTAACTGCACTCTATCATGCATTACCAGGTGCATCATGAACAGGTCCAGGGAGGTGATACTTCCCCTCTATATGGCATTGGTGAGGCTGCAGTTGGAGTACTGCGTGCAGTTCTGGGCATCACACTTCAAGAGGGATGTGGATAACTTTGAGAGGGTCCAGAGGAGGGCCACTCGTATGGCTGGGGGCCTGCAGGTAAGGCTCTATGAGGAGAGACTGAGGGACCTGGATCTCTTCAGCCTCCACAAGAGAAGGCTGAGAGGAGATTTTGTGGCCGTTTACAAATTAATCGCGGTGGCGGGGAGGGGAAGGGCAGCAAGAAGTAGGAGATGCTCTGTTTACCAGGGCACTCCTTGGAATAACCAGGAACA